AGTTAGTTAGTTAGTTAGTTAGTTAGTTGGGTTATCCTCATTGCACTCCGGACATGTCCATAGGTGCTCAGATCCTCCCCTCAGTATGAACCCCAACGTCCGATGGCTAATAGTACCAGTTCTATGTTGATTAACAAGTCTTCTGGCGTGTCTGGTGTGCGTCTCGTTTTTTGCTGTGCCGATCTTAATTCCCAAGTCTGCCATTCTGGCGAGTGATGTGGATTCACTGCCACCAAAGTCCTCTATCCTTCCCATTTCTCTGAGGGCATTGATAATATCAGCATGATCCATAGGCTGACCGTCGGTAGTGATAGCGGATCCAGCCAACCTGTCAGCTCTTTCATTTCCATAGACGCCTGCGTGTCCCGGAACAAAAATAAAGGTGACTCCACGCACAGTGGACTTCTGTAATGATTCAAGCCATTGTCTTCGCACTGAACCTGCCTAAACCCTCCGGATCATACTCATTGAATCACTGAGTACACATACGCGGGTGTATTTTTGTGTTTCAAGCCAGGCAAGCGCTTGCGTCACTGCCATCACCTCCATCGTCGTGCTGCTGGTTGTCATGGAGAAGGCGCCGTTGGCTTCTTTGACTGTTCTGCCCGCTGAGCGTGCTGTAAATGCCCATGCGCTTCTTCTTTGGCGTATAACGGATCATTACTCTGGTAATGTCTTAACCGAGCCCAGTAACAGAACATTTTGACGAAGTCTTTATCATCATCATCATCATTATCATCAATTTCAATTTCCGCTGTTAAGCGTTGTGGAGAGGAACAGTTTCGGATCCATTGCTTGATGGGCAACGATGGCTACTGTCATTTCGTGTCGATACAGAAGCTCTTTAATGTCTTTAATCTATGTTCTCCTAGGGCGGCCTTTTGATTTCTTTTCATTTCTGTTCATGTGTAGCGCCTGCGTTGGTATTTGTATTGGCTGCATTCTCACTAACTGACCAGACTATCTGATCTTCTGTTCCTCTGTGAATTAGCTGCTTGATGTTGTTCCTACAGTCTGTCTGATAATGACTTTTCTCATTTGATCTCTGATGGTTACGTTGGCGGCCTTTTCTCAGGCATCTCATTTCACAGGTGTTCATTTTACGCAGGTAAGTAAAGTTATAAGTAAAGGACCTTTTCCCACACATTCAGGCGTATTGGTTACACAGGGCTAGACCTATATTTTATAGACCAAACGGCACTTGGTGGCTGATGCGGTCGCATCCCGCCGACCGCCTTTACTTCACAGGCCTGTATCTTGAGCGCTTTTCCGTTCTATTGACGTTTCAGGCTCTTTGTTTTCAGATGTATGATTCAAGTTTCTTTTTTTTTTCAATCCTTGTCTGTGTCTCTCTCATTCCCGGAAGGGATCAGGGTGGAAAGGGGTGGGAGGGGGGAGAGAACCCACTGCCTCTCAAGCATGTCGAACATGACGACTAATTAGGGAAGTTCCTTGGAAGCTGGAGTGCATCTGGCTAGGAACCAACAAGCTGGGTATAAATAAACCAGAATTGTAAAACAGCTGTGCGGAACTCAAATACACGAGCAAGACCAAAAGCGTACATAAGTGATATTGCCCAGGAAATGCGGGAGCTCCGGGCAATGAGAGAACGGATTGATTAGCTGCGAAAATATTATATGTAGATACAAGAGTAATGGATAATCAAAGAATTTTATAGGAGGCCGGGCTAGACCCTGGCCGCTGTCGGCTGCTGGTGTGGGACGGGAGCTCCAGTAGTGGACAGAAAACGGGTTTTCTAATCAGGCAGCTTTTGTATCACACTTTAATGTTTGTTTCAATTGCATGGGTGAACGACAGCACCAAGAACAACCTCAAACACATCTTCTTTAAACACTTGGATGAAGTAACTTGAGGAAGAGAAGAAGAATTTTGTCGTGTGTGTTTCATTAACTTGACTTGGACAAGTTTGTAGTGTGTGTTTCTTAAACGTGACGTGGACATGTTTGTCGTGTGTGTTTCTTAAACGTGACGGGGACATGTTTGTCGTGTATGTTTCTTAAACGTGACGTTGACATGTTTGTCGTGTGTGTTTCTTAAACGTGACGTGGACATGTTTGTCGTGTGTGTTTCTTAAACGTGACGGGGACATGTTTGTCGTGTGTGTTTCTTAAACGTGACGTTGACATGTTTGTCGTGTGTGTTTCATTAACCTGACGTGGACAAGTTTGTCGCGTATGTTTCATTAACGTGATGTGGATGGACATGTTTGTCGTGTGTGTTTCATTACCGTGACGTGGACATGTTTGTCGTGTGTGTTTCATTACCGTGACGTGGAAATGTTTGTCGTGTGTGTTTAATTAACCTGACGTTGACAAGTTTGTAGTGTGTGTTTCATTAACGTGACGTGGACATGTTTGTCGTGTGTGTTTCATTACCGTAACTTGGACATGAATGTCGTGAATGTTTTAATAACGTGACGTTGACAAGTTTGTCGTGTGTGTTACATTAACCTGACATGGACACGTTTGTCGTCTGTGTTTCATTACCGTGACGTGAACAAGTTTGTCGTGTGTTTATTTCATTACCGTGACGTGGACACGTTTGTCGTGTGTGTTTCATTACCGTGACGTGAACAAGTTTGTCGTGTGTGTGTTTCATTACCGTGTCGTGAACAAGTTTGTCGTGAGTGTTTCATTAACGTGACGTGGACAAGTTTGTCGTGTGTGTTACATTAGCCTGACGTGGACACGTTTGTCGTATGTGTTTCATTACCGTGACGTGAACAAGTTTGTCGTGTGTTTGTTTCATTAACGTGACGTGGACAAGTTTGTCGTGTGTTTGTTTCATTAACGTGACGTGGACATGTTTGTCGTGTGTTTGTTTCATTAACGTGACGTGGACAAGTTTGTCGTGTGTTTGTTTCATTAACGTGACGTGGACAAGTTTGTCGCGTGTTTGTTTCATTAACGTGACGTGGACAAGTTTGTCGCGTGTTTGTTTCATTAACGTGACGTGGACAAGTTTGTCGTGTGTGTTACATTACCGTGACGTGGACATGTTTGTCGTGTGTTTGTTTCATTAACGTGACCTTGACAAGTTTGTCGTGTGTGTTTCATTAACGTGACGTGGACAAGTTTGTCGTGTGTTTGTTTCATTAACGTGACGTGGACAAGTTTGTCGTGTGTTTGTTTCATTAAAGTGACGTGGAAAAGTTTGTCGTGTGTTTGTTTCATTAACGTGACGTGGACAAGTTTGTCGTGTGTTTGTTTCATTAACGTGACGTGGACATGTTTATCGTGTACGTTTCATTAGCTTGATGTGTACATTTCGTTTTCGGCGCTAGGGAAACAGAACTCCTTTCTTGTGAACAGTAATGCGAGTGTTCTTGCCACAAGCCACCTTCATGTTGGTCAACCTGATGATGATGGCGCAAGTGAGTGGCCCAGGTATACCTGTCTTTCAACCATAAACACATGGGGTGGGGCGGCGTGGTCTCCAGGTATGGTGTCCACCTCGAGGGCTAGAGGTTCCGTATTCAATAAACCGTAAGAGCTGGGATTTTTTCACGTGGACTTGGACCTCTAGTGAATCCTACTGGTCTATGGGTAGTGAGATCGGACGCCCGTGTGCATTCTTGCACATGTAAAAAAAAAATCCCTTGGCTGTTGGAAATCAAAAAAGAGTACCCTAACGGCGCTGCCCGGGCAAAAATTTGAAGTTACAAATCTACACAAAGTCTTTTCCGACGACGGTATTTCATTGTGCAATAGAGAGGAATTGGAATCACATACTAGCAAGACTTGCAAGGCCAGCTTAGGTAAAGAGGAATATCCCACAATATGTGAATACAACTGGTGACCATTGTGGCCATCACATGTATTTCTCGTCAGATACTCAAATCATAACACTTCTGCACTTCTCTTATTGTGTGGTCATTTTCCTTTCTTATCCTTACCGCCTCCGCCCTTTTATTTCATCAGTGCGATCCATGGAATCCTGTATGCGATCCATGGAATCCTGTATGCGATCCATGGAATCCTGTATGCGATCCATGGAATCCTGTATGCGATCCATGGAATCCTGTATGCGATCCATGGAATCCTGTATGCGATCCATGGAATCCTGTATGCGATCCATGGAATCCTGTACCACTGAATGCACATTAAAACCATTATCCTGCCTGTCCCGCTTACAAATCTTTAATTGGTAGTAAAAGCCGAACTGGACATCTTGTATGCATCTATAACTCGCCATTGAACTAAGATTTCCATGGGACCTCTACCATTTTCCTTCTGCGCCTGAGTTCTGTCCATGAGATCTCTCTAAAACTGCAGCGAGAAAACTGTTAAAATGCCACTGATCTTTCCAGCAACTCCAGGTATGTTATCTTGTCTCGCCACTACCATACCCAGTTGTTTTTTTCTTCAGTTCGAGCCATCGTAATGTAGCGGTTATACGCTCTCCTGTGGATGCGAAGGTCGTGGGTCAAAACCTCACAGAGCTAGACTTGTCTTAAACTATTCCCCCAGGTGGGATCAGCCTTGAGTGGGATCCAGCTGAAGTCCTGTAAAGTAAACCTGACCGGCGCGATGCTGACCATATCACCCATAGAGTTCTGATTGATCTAAACAATAGAGGGCTAGCCCTATGTGCCCAGTACTTGTGAAGGCGCTGAGAAGAGTCCTTTCCGGATTTTTTTTTTTTTTTTAATGTTTTCTTGGATATCAGATGTGAAAGAGATATATAGCAGTTTCTCGTCGTACAAGTTAGTTGACAAAGGTTACAACTATACAGAAAGATGCTGAGAACACAAACTGGATAGACCAGAGATTTGTTTCTGATAGTAAGCTTTTTGCTCTCTCAAACTCTTTTTTGTTAATCTTCTCACTGTAGTTGCTGCCTTATTTGTTCCGAAGTTGACCACGCAATTGTTGTCCTTGTTGTTTTTTCTTTTTTCTTTCGTTGTTAGTCCAAACAACAGGCATCAGCTAAAGCAGACATCAAACGTTAAAGTGAAACTGTCTGCCGTCAAATTCAAGAATCTCACCGATCTTATTTCAGCTTGTCCCGTCGGGTGGTTTGGAAGCAAGTGCCAGTTCAAGTGTCACTGCTCATCCTCGGACAAATGCAGCAGCAACGGAGAATGTCCGGGCGACCTGCGGTGCCAGGCCGGATATTTCGGTCCGAGTTGCCAGTACGGTCAGTGTTAGATTTTTTAATGTTGAATTAAGAATCGACATCACAGAATTCAGGATATTCCACTAAGTGATTCGCCCCCATCTTCAACAGCAAGCGCAGAGTTCCAGTAACTGTCTGACTGTACATCCGTCTCGCCTTCCCCTTAAGTGTTGATCGTCGACCAGATCTCCTGGTAACTCTTTGCAGCGCCATTCTCCTCAGACCGTGATGATCCGTCCGTGCTTTCGCACTGTTCACTCGCTATCAGAGGGCCCTTACAACATCTAGCTTGTCACGTGGTCTATCTGCCTATTCGTTGGTATTTTATTTGTTGGCTCCTGTTGTTAATCCATCACACGTGACGATGATAAATTTTTTTATCTATTGGTGACTGGTTTTGAGTTAAGGGTAAAATTAAGAGTATTAACTTCATTGCACTAGGTTTTATACCATTTGGCTCGGTCTCTCTCCACGGGGCGTAGCCCTGGAACCAACCCACGTCCTTCAGAGCACTAAGCAAGCAGATTGACCACCTCGCCACCGAGACACTATGGACTGGTTTAGGTTGTAAGTGGGCATATGGCCGATAAAACTAATTCTAGCACTGACATTTCTTGAGCAGTGTGGACAGGGAAAAGAGGCCTCATCTCTCCGGTGATTTGCTTCAGTGTCTTTCCTGTCTGGTCTGTTTTGTATTGTTGCTGTAATTATTTTTATCAGCTCCATGAACCACAACTCCTGATAAAGAGAGGAGCGCCAGGACGAGCAGTCACATGCAACGACTTCTCGGGTTTTAGGATCAATACAGAAGTCTTGCAGTGAGGTCTTGAGGTTGTCCTTGAAACGTTTCTTCTGTCCACTTTGAGAGCGATCGCTGTCACATGCACACACATACACACTAACACACGCACACACATGTGCATACATACGTACATACGTCCATATTTTGAATTGCATACATGATTGCATGCACACACACACACACACACAAACACCGGTGTTTGTACAAAAACTTTTACCTATCATCATCATCATGCGCTATGTCGAAAAGAATAGCCTGGCAGGTTTTACCATCTCACAAGATGACAACAATCACATGTCAATTAAATGTCTTTTGTTCTCGCTCCATCTCCGTGGTGAAGCCCTTCAGGTATTGACCTCTCTGCCTTCCTCTAGTTCTCTGCCCACCAGTCTTGCCCAACGTCCACAACTTCTCCAGCCTGCTGCCAACAGATGCTCAATAAACACCGGCTGTTTACCTTATTTTTTTCCCTCGCCAATTCACGACTTTTTACTGTTTCCATAGGGTGGTCACTTTTGTTAGCCGCTTTTCTGATCAGTTCGTAATGTGGTTTGAGATAAATTGTATCCGTATTCCATGTTTATGATTTCGAGCTGCACGATACAGATGGATAACGAAGACACGTTTTTAGCTGCTTTTCTGATCAGTTTATAAAATGGTTTGAGATGAACTGTGTCTGTATTGTATAGTTGTGATTTCGAGCTGCACCATAGAGATGGCTAAAAAAAGACACTTTTGTTAGGGGTGGCTACTCAGTCATTTATCCTAGTACACTTGTTTCTGCAGTCAGGCGCGGTTGTCATTTGGAGGTGACCGGTTGAATTAACTGGACGGTAACTATAGTTTTTCACAATTTTATGTTGTCTAGTGTGTCCTTTTATGTTTCTACTTATGTCTACGAGTGCCAATCAATACATATCTGTTTCGTTCCAGAAGACATAGCTTTTGGCCGGATGTCACCTGGTAACCTGCTCTACTTGATTGACCATGACGACAACACCTGTAACCCTGCGCCTGACGCTCGCACGGTGGACCTCTATTTCAAGGACAAAGTGGTCTTTACCTGGTTCAGGATCCGAGTCAATAATGAAAGTATGTGTTCCGTTCGGCTGTTTCCTCCCACACTTGATGCTACTTACTTTTCTCAGCGCTCGGCAAGTGCACATTCAACAACTATTGTTATTATTATTATTATTATTATTATTATTATTATTATTATTACTATCATGGAAGTATTTGTGGCTTAGGCATTACGAGTGAGCTCCGTAATTTTGAGGTAAGCAGGTCGATCCAAAACGGGTGATTTGCTAGCAGACCGCCTTGCATTAACTTAGACAGGTATCCAGAGAAGACAGTTTAGCAGGCAATGGCAAACTGCTAATGGTAAAATTGGCAAGACGTATAATTATCTAGAAGAGAATAAGTACCCTCAGTATGGAAAATCTTCGCTGGCAGTTGCAACGGGGCGGTGGGGGAGGGAAGGGGGTACGGGGTTAATATGGGCTTGTCCCGATTGCTGTGATGTCGAGTCTTTACCCACCTGATGAAATGAAGAGTTCTCAGATTCGTGTAGATAGTTGCCAGCTTTCTCTTTCACTGCTCCATGGTCGTTAGTCAAGTCTCCAGCATCTTTGCAGCTCTGTTGCTCCATACCCGTTCTTGTTCCTGTGCCAATGGAAAACACACAACATGTATGTAAGTCTTTCGACGCCGAGAAGACCACACAACAAGCTACCAAGACCCGGTGACACAAAATGCCACCATTTGGATGAGGATCACCCGGACACAAGTCGCAGAAAGCCCGATCAACCCTCATGTTATATTAGGGTCCCCTACCAAAGCCGGGGCAAAGCTCTAAAATAACGACAAATAGCGTCCCGTTTTGGGATGGATTCAGATTGTCACACACGTTCTCCAGTGTCCTATTTAAAAACTAGTAACAAATGCTTCAGTTGCAGCAAAATCTGAAAGCTTGTACACGCAAAGTAAAATGCACAAAACAGCTGTCAGTCGTATCAGAACTGACCGTCCCACATTATAAGAACTGCAACTCTCTGTTGATGCAAACAGCCCATCACTAAAGCCAACACTGCAAAAGCATACGCCGTTCTGAACTTATCGGTCACCTGCGATTAGCCGACAACACGCCGCGGGCACAACAGAGGCACATAATTCCACATAAAATCCAAAACTCATAGTGTCACACCGAGCACTCATTTCAAAAGCTGGACTACGATAAATTACCTACGCGGTAACATCCTCCAAATACGTAATTATCTTTGTGAAGAGTCAATCTCTCCAGTGTGGATACTCTATTTTGTTGCATTGTTCATTTCATCTTTTCTTAGGATTGTCTAATATGAACCTAATTGGAAATATATCCACACACAAAAATTAACAAAAAAAATGATCACTTGTTTTTAACGTATGACTAGGGCAGCCTCCACCAGCTAGCTGTTCTGCAGTGAGGGGATAAGCAAGGAGGGATGAAAACTGATGCGCATGTTTCAGCATTGGGTAGCGAGTATATGCGTGTTCTTGGCCAGGGCTCTGGGTGGTGGCCTGAACAAAGCTGAGGAAAGAACAGATCATAACGATTGGAGAGAAATATTGCTGCAACAAATGACTAGCAGACCTGCCCACGCTTAGTAGAACAGCAATTCAGACATGTAATTAAACTGCAGCTAGTACCACTGATATTATAACTCTAGGATGGCTGCTGAATATGAGTACAGATCGCTTGTGAGGATGACGTGAATTTTGTGATGTGGCATTGCACTTATCTTCATGGACGATAAAATCAACATACAAACGTCTGAGATTTTTCAAGATTCACATCGCGTACATTTTTCTTAGCCGTTCCACCAACCCTGTTGATGGGTTTCTTTATGTACAGGCTTCCCTGATCCAGTTTTTATTTCAAATGTACCAGGAAGTAGAATTTGCGGGCATAATATAACCTCTATCACCAACTTAGAGCTGATCGGTCTTTTTATAGCATACGATTGAAAATATAAGTTGCAGAAAGATATCGGTAGCTAGCCTTCTTTGGATATTTTCTGCAGGTCATACCGGTGTGTTGGGGAAGGAGCAGGCACGCAGACTAACCGGTTCTGCATCGCATGGTGGTGAAGTGATGTTTGATAAGCTAGTTGTTGTGAGTGCCCTTTGGGAGCGAGTGAACGGTGCAGAGGCACAGAAAGATCGTTACGGTCTGAGGAGAATGGCGCTGCGAGGAGTTACTAGGGGAACTGGCCGTCGCTCATTACCCAAGGAAAAGGCGAGACGGATTTACAATCAACAAAATCTGGTGCCATCGGAATTGTAACTCTTCACTTGCTGCTGAAGATGGGGACGGAGCGCTTTAGAGAGTGTACCGAGTGCTGTTATGTCGATTCTCAATTCAACATTTACGATTCAGAAGGAAATAACAAAGAGATACTGATGAAATATTCCAACATCATTAAAAGACACACACACTTTATTAAACCTGACGGTCGGGAAGATCCGAAGACAAGCGTGCAAGAGATAAACAGCGGTGCAAATGGGAGGATAACTTCCAGAGATGGACGAACACCTGTTATAGAGATTGTGCATCAAGGACAGAGGGTGTTTTAGTTCGAGGGTAGTCAGACTTTATTTCTGGAGACGGCACCTCACTACCAGATTTACTTATTGGTTAATTAAACGTTAGAGCACATGGTTGAAAGTGAAACCAAAGTAAAAACCTTTGTTAACAGACGGAATTTATCGTAAATTTGAAGTTACCTTGGTAAGTCACGTGACCACGATGAGCTTCCGGCGGCCATGAAAAAGAGATATTGTATAGAAGAAACTATTCGCATTTCAATTGAATTCATCCAGTTTTTTGCTTTATTTTATGTTGATGTAACTCTGTAGTAACGCACCTGGTGAGATACAGCGAAATATGCCTGTCAATAAATTGTGCAATGTTTTGTTCGTATCCGCATTATTTAAATTCAAAATGAAAACATGTTTAACCTATTTGTTGGCAGAGACGCTGCTCAACTTTGTCATAACACTGAATAGCGAAAAGTCGTGCCTGAACCAAAGACTGTTTGTGGTCGATTCAAAAACGGTAGATGTCACTTGTGATCTGCCTCCACTTTTAGAGCACTTGATCATTCAAGGAATGATAGCGCCTACTATCTGCTCCATCTACGTCACAGCAGGTGAGAACCAAGTCGTTTGCCCGATTGTTTATTGGTGAACCAGCTTGTTTATATGTGTGTGTGTGTGTGTGTAAATATATATATGATGATGGGCGATGATAATAGTTATATATATATATATATATATATATATATATATATATATATATATATATATATATATATATATATATTAAACTATCATCATCGCCCGGCTCTCTAGCGTAGTTGGCTAAACCGGATTGCGCTGTGACCGGGGTGCGAATTCCTTGTGGTCCGGGTTCACGCCCGGGGGTAGGCAGAAAAGCCACATTTCTCTCAGATTTACGGTATTTACAATGGAATCAAGGCCGAAAGGTTGCGATATCCACAATACCGAGCCTAAAGGTTAACAACTCATGGCTTCTGGATACTTAAAAAAAAAAAATTACAAAATGTCGCTCTCTTCACGGCATGCCTGAAAGTATCCCTTTCCTTAGCCAGCTCTCCAGCCCCATGTGCTTTCAATGCCAATGCATCTTCAATGTCTTGTATCCATCTTCGCGGAGGTCAACCCCTACCTCGCCTTCCACAAACTGCACCTTCCATCACCCTAAAGATTTCGGGACAGGAATCTGTTTATGTCCCAGTTCTCCTTTTTGTACAGCTCGTTCAGAATGTCAATGTTTTTCCTCTTCCTGGTCCATGGTATTCTAAGCATTGTTCTATAACATTTCAATTCAAAAGCTTCAATCTTTTTTCCTCAGTGACTGAGTGAGAGTCCAAGATTCGCAACCTCAAGTTGCCACAGGAAAAATGCAGGATCTCAAGATGTTTACTTTATCCAATTTACCGGTACTATACCTAGGTTCTTCATGCTGTTTCATCTCTGCGTTGCTAATACAAGTCTTCTTCTGGCTTCTTTTGAGCAGTCGCCACTGCTGTTCACTAAATAGCCCAAGTATTCGTTGGAAGATTATATCCAATTTCGTTCTTTTTAGGACGAAATTTCTTGTCATTTGAAGCCCTACTCTGGCTTTTGCCAGGGGCCGCAATATAGGCAGGCCATATATATGGCCAAATGTCTGAACGCGGTTTCTGGGACCTCTCCACGGCGATCCTCATCCGCATGGTGGCACTTTGTGTCATCGGGTGTTTATCGCTTGTGTGATGTCCTGGTGGGGTAGAAGTTCAGTTCAGTTCAGTTGGAAGAAATATGTTACATTTTCTTTTTCTTCTTTTTCGATTGTGATATGTTGTTGGTGTGCTGAATTTACTAAGGACATTTTTTTTTATTCAGAAACAGATTCACTTCTTCGCTGTGTTTTTTGACCGCGAGAAATAATTTTTCTAAACCTAGTATACTGTTAGACAGGGGACTATGTCGTCTGCGATAGGATTACCTCCAATTTTTAGTGGATCAAAGCTCTCACATGCCTCATCGCTAATTGCGTTTCTCATATTTTCCGCAATTATGTTAAAGACGGAGGGTGAAAGAATGCTGCCCTGTCTCACTTCCTTCTGCACTTTAAACCATTCAGTTTTACCAGCTACTCTGACCGCTGCTTGTTGTTTGTGGTAAAGAGATTCCAATAATGGTACCATAAGATTTGGAAATCCCATGCCTCTCATTATATACCATAGTTGATACGCTATATATATATATATATATATATATATATATATATATATATATATATATATATATATATATATATATATATAAACTCACCGGCTTCTTAAAAGCTGTATAAAAAAATTGTCTAGATTTGTGCAGACAAAAGGATATGGCCGTTAAACTGCTTTTGCTGCAGGATTTTCGGCGAATTCCTTTTTCTGTTTAGTCCCCAGCTATTCCATACTGAATTACTTTTTAGTCGATGTCAGGTGAGCTTTCAGATTTTAATAATCTTGTTTAAAGTGGTTCGGACATGTATTCTCTCTCTCTCGCTCTCTCTCTCTCTCTCTCTCTCTCTCTCTCTCTCTCTCTCTCTCTCTCTCTCTCTCTCTCTCTCGTGTGTGTGTTTTTGCATGCAGTGTTGTGTTTTGTTATTTTTTAATTATGCCACGAATGTTTGTTTTCGCCGTCACCGAACACAAAGCCTTTTATACGGCACAAGTCAACTGGTGCTGCAGCCTTTTCAAAACACCTGTACTGGCTACCCTCGTACCAACATTTCATGCCTTCGATCCTTTCAAATGTGTCTGTTGTCACTTCATCATCCAAGCGGTATGCCAGCCAGCTAGAGAAACATCAGCCAAGCATTCAGCAAGCGAACAAACCAGTCATGAAATGAATCCAACCTGCCAAAGAGCCAACCAGCTTGCCAGACAACCAACCAAAGAAAGACCAAACTAAACCCACCACTTTCTTTATCTGAATTACAGGCCGCAACCTGGCTTTAGGCCAACCCGCTGTTCAAAGCACAAGCTTGGATAGTTCCAGCAACGCTTCCCTGGTTGTAGACGGTGACGTCAGTTCATGTTCAGGAACCACCTCTGACCCGGAAGCCTTCTGGAAACTGTCATTCACTCAGTTCCACTACATCAGCAAAGCCATTGTCCGCACTAATCAAAGTAGGTCACTGATGCATTGTCTGTCAAAATCAAAGTAGGTCACTGATGCATTGTCTGTCAAAATCAAAGTAGGTCACTGATGCATTGTCTGTCAAAATCAAAGTAGGTCACTGATGCATTGTCTGTCAAAATCAAAGTAGGTCACTGATGCATTGTCTGTCAAAATCAAAGTAGGTCACTGATGCATTGTCTGTCAAAATCAAAGTAGGTCACTGATGCATTGTCTGTCAAAATCAAAGTAGGTCACCGATGCATTGTCTGTCAAAATCAAAGTAGGTCACTGATGCATTGTCTGTCAAAATCAAAGTAGGTCACTGATGCATTGTCAAAATCAAAGTAGGTCACTGATGCATTGTCTGTCAAAATCAAAGTAGGTCACTGATGCATTGTCTGTCAAAATCAAAGTAGGTCACTGATGCATTGTCTGTCAAAATCATAGTAGGTCACTGATGCATTGTCTGTCAAAATCAAAGTAGATCATTGATAATTGTTTTTGTATTGTCTTATCCGTCCTTTTTAGGACGAAATTTTTCATTAATTGAAGCCCTACTCTGCCTCTTGCCATAGGCGACAATATAGACTGGCCATAAATATGGCCTAAATGCAGAACGCGGTTTCTGGGACCTCTCCATGGTGATCCTCGCCCACATGATTGCACATTGTGTCATCGGGTGTTTATCGCTTGTGTGATGTCCTAGTGGGGTAGAAAGTCAGTCAGCCGTAGATCATTGATTCATTATCTGTCCCAATCAAAGAAGTAATTGATTCATTATCTGTCAGCGTTGATCTAGGAAGACGTGAATGTTGTAAGATGGTAAAAGTTTTCTGAATGCAACCTACATTGTATCATTCTTAATTGTGTTCTTACTAGGAATCTGTCTGGGCCAAATTCTTGCATACATTTTGGATTTTATTGGACGATTTGTCAGACTATAGCAACTCCTAGGCAGAGAGGGTAAGAGTCAACAAGCCGTATGCGTGTGGCTCGGACGGACCAGAGCTCTTAGCCGGACATTTTTTCTTTCGTAGATCCCTAAAGATCATCGTTGCAGATACGGAGTTAGCGCTTTCTTCAGCCCTGCCAGCTATTGGTAGTGGTTCGACGACAACACACACACACACACACACACACACATATATATATATATATATATATATATATATATATATTATATATATATATATATATATATATAAAGATAGAGAGAAAGAGAGAGAGAGAGAGAGAGAAAGACCAAGTCAAGGGGATAAAACGTATCACATCATAAACTAGGCTTTTCTAAGTTTCAAAAAAATGACGGCACCCAGGTCGACCAAGCTTTGAGTTGGTACCAGGTGCAGTCTTAAGAAGTAAGGGCGGCCGGCATGATTTTAACCTATGTAACCCACCAAGTGCGGATTGGTCTATAAAAACATAGATCTAGTCCGACACGACCAGCACTGCTCAAGGCGTGGTCGAGGGTCCTTTACTTTTTTTTTTGGGGGGGGGGGGGGGGGGGTTTGCTTGTTACTCTCTGTTTTTCCAGGCGATATTTCTTCATTATGCTGTAGCGAGGCATGAGAATCACTGCCCATTGGGATGTCAGCAAGACCTCTGTCTCATCCACGGTGAGACTCTCGAACAACTGGTGGAAAACCACGAAAACGGTTTAAAACAAAATTAACCATCAGCTACGGAAATCTAAGCCTGTCACTGGCGGATCTTGTAACTGTTGAATGCATTCACTATACTTCAACCAACAGAGCAGACACGTTGAACAAAACGGATCTCCCTGTGGGGTTTCTTGACAACATTGTGGGGGCAATAACAACGAGCATGTCGTTTAACTCTTTGAGTCCCAAGAAACGTATCCTACGTTCATAGATTCCAATCTAGAGGTCCAATGAAAGCAAGATGCGCCGATGTTACGACTCTCTTGACTACCACATGAGCCTCTGATACCAAACCCCTAGGACTCAGAGTTAGGTCGTAAGGGGGAAGTGGCGGGGGGGGGGGGGTTAACCGGTACCCGTCTGATTGTATATCCGTCTCATCCTTTCCTTGAGTGTTGAGCCTCGGCCAGATCCTCTTGTAACCCCTCGCAGTGCCATTCTCCTCAGACCCTAGTGACCAAAGTTCTACAACACTGAAATCTAGAAACAGACAAACAACAGGGACATTCTGCCAGAGTTAACAGCAGGTGAACGCCAAGATGTCCAGAAACAGACAAACATGACAGCAGGTGAACGCCAAGAAGTCAAGAAACAGACAAACATGACAGCAGGTGAACGCCAAGAAGTCCAGAAACAGACAAACATGACAGCAGGTGAACGCCAAGAAGTCCAGAAACAGACAAACATGACAGCAGGTGAACGCCAAGAAGTCCAGAAACAGACAAACGTGACAGCAGGGGAACGCCATGAAGTCCAGAAACAAAACAAAAACAAAAACAACAGGGACTTTCCGCCAGATGTGACTGACAGCAGGGGAACGCCAAGAAGTCCAGAAACAGACAAACAACAGGGACTTTCTGCCAGAGTTGACAATTGAGGAACGCCAAGAAGTCCAGAAACAGACAAACAACAGTGACTTTCTGCCAGAGTTGACAGCATGTGAACGCTAAGCAGTCAAAAGTATACGTTGATTTATGACGATTGCTTCTTCTTCTTCTTCTTCTTCTTCTTCTTCTTCTTCTTCTTCTTCTTCTTCTTTTTCTTCTTCTTCTTCTTCTTCTTCTTCTTCTTCTTCTTCTTCTTCTTCTTCTTCTTCTTCTTCTTCTTCTTCTTCTTCTTCTTCTTCTTCTTCTTCTTCTCTTCCACCTTGTACCTCATGAAAGCGTCGGGGGCAGATGTAATGTACGTTGATGAGCTCTGTCAAGAGCACTATTAAGACTGATGGTTATTACTGTAAGGCTGTTCTTAATGCCATCACTCCATATTTTCCGAGGTCTTCCACTCGCTCTATACCCGTTGTAACGTTTTAGTGTGGATTGTTGTGGCGGATAGTACCAGGGCATTCTTGTTAGGTGTCAAAACCACTTCATTTGTTGTTCTTTGATGACCTGTAAGACTGGCTTTATCCCAGGCATTCGTCTGATTTCATGATTTCGTATTCTGTCTTTCCTTGAAACTCCTGCAGCTCTTCTAAAGCCTTTCATCTCTGTTGTCACAATGTTGTCACAATGACGATTGCTGTCCATTATATTTCAGCTGGTCCTGTACAGTTGAAAGGACTGACTTTTCAAATTGTGGATAGCAGCGGCAGTGTGCGTGAGGTCTACAGGACTACCACTGTAGCTGACAACTATGAGATCGTGGTGCCGATGACACCAGTGGGAGCTGTAGAGATTATACCACTGAGCTCTCTGGCGCTTAGAGATATGGCGTTATATCTGTGCGAAGTTGAGTTGATTGGCGGTAAGTTCCGTTTCCGGTGTATCCAATTAAACATCAACTTTATGGGAGAATGAGTTGATAGGTGGCAAGTTCAGTTGTCTATGCATTCAATTAAACATCAACTATGTGCGAGATTAAGTTGATAGATAGGAAGTTCAGTTGTCGATGTATCCACACACAAAAACATCAACTTTATGCAAGATTAATTTTATAAATAGCAAGTTCAGTTGTGAATGCATTTAATTAAACATCAACTATGTGTGAGATTAAGTTGATCGATAGCAAGCTCAGTTGTCGATGTCTTCACTTAAATATCAACTATGTGTGATGTTGAGTTGATTGGTGATAACTTCAGTTGTCGATGTCTTCATTTAAACATCATCTATGTGCGAGACTGAGTTGAGTTGAGTTGATTTAAAAAGCGACATTACAGCACTCGGGACATTCCCATCAGCGCTCCGTCCCCACCTTCAGCAGTCAGCGGAGATTTCCTATACTAATGGTGCCAGTAGCATTCTAATTAAACGTCCATTCTGCATTTCCTCTGAGCCTCGAGCATCTGCCAGAACCTCTTGTAACCCCCCCCCCCCTCTCCCACCCCCGCATCTATTTTACCAGACTGTGGTGATCCATCTGCTCCTCCGAACTGTACACGCTCTCCCACTGGCACTAACCACGTCTGCCTTATCATGCATCAGTATTCCACCAAGTTTTGGACAGCCAGCCGATCTGTCCGCATAAGAAAAACTAATCCAGATAATCCTCTTCATTCATGTCCTTCGCAGTAAAGCATGCCACTCTGCACGATGCATGCCTGTCCTGACCTTCTTCAGCACGCTTTCTGAGTCAGTTACAATCAAGATGTGTGTGTGTGTCGTGTTCTCTAGCCAGCAGAAAGCTGCAGTGACCACCTCCACCTCCATTCTTAAGCTGGATGTTGTGGTATCATATGCTAGGCTCTCCTGCACCAAACATCGACCATTAACTTTTGCTAAGAAGCCCCAAGCACTTCTTTTGCCTCTTGACACTGAACTGTCTGTGTAAATAGTCAAATCCTCTGAACGAGTATTATTTTGAATTATTTGCTTCACAATTAACGATGGACAAATCAAAAGACAAAGCAAGAGGAGGTGTCTGCGTATTATTTTCGTGGATCATGTGGAAGTAGTTGCGGTGAAATGTTACCCTCCCCTCCCCACGCCTACTCAGATACTGAGTGCACTCTGCATCATGGCAGCAATGAACATGGAACAAAGAATGCTTACACAATGTTCCAGCATGTGATCCTGTCGGTGATAGACTATGGACTTGGAATGCTGACCATATCGATGAGTCAGCTGATGAAACATGAACGCATACAGAATAAAGCCGTGAGGGTGATTCTGGGATGTACAAGAGATACCCCCGGTAGTATGTATGCGATAGATACTTGCACTGCCGACTTTTACAAATAGGCTTATATTTCGGCAGGCAAAGTCATATCTCAGAGCAACCGCAGACAAGAAGAACCTCCTGCATGAAGCCCTAGGTAGAGCTAAGGGTTACAGACTGAAAAGAGGAAGGTCTTGGATGGCGCAAGATGAAGATGCAATTAAACGTGTGTGCAGGCTTGATAAATTTGGGCGAGGAGAGTAGTCGGTCAAAGTATCCCAGCAATAATCAGATTTGTTTAGTTTTCTAGCCACACTGGGCCGTAAGCGCAGGGACTGGCCAGCGGGCGCTGCAGTCAGAAGTTCAACAAATGATTCATTACCACTCCCCACTCCCCCCCCCCCCCACCCCGCCCAACTGATGATATTATCTATACAGATGGCTCTGTGTTGAGAAATCTACTTTGTGTCACAATAATGTCTTTACATTTATTTCTCATAGAAGCCGTATGCCCCGAAGAAACATACGGACTGGAATGTGATCAAAAGTGTAAATGCGGACAAAGGGATATATGTCATTTAGCGACCGGAAACTGCGCGCCAGGTTGCGATGAATTCAAATATGGGTTCAACTGTGGATCTGTGTGTGCTTCCAGCTGTAATGACAGCGACTGCTACTACCGAAGTGGAAGCTGTCTCAGTTGTGGGGAAGGATTTCACGGCGCTTTCTGTGACAAGGGTAAGCTACAAGGCTCTTTATTAACGGTTTTACTGCCTGCCTCTTACTATTATTATTATTATTATTATTATTATTATTATTATTATTATTATTATTATTATTATTTCAATATTATTATTATTATTATGTATCTTCCTCATTATAACCATTCCCCCATTTCCCTGTCTACTCTTTAATCGGTCGTCTGTGCGAGCAATGTAATGTTTGGCTTCTGGAGAGTGTCTTATCCAGGCAATTTGGCTGTTCTTTACCTATTGACCTCCTAGAATTAGTTTTCGTCTAGCTCTCTCTCATCTCTCTTTCATCTCTCTCTCTCTCTCTCTCTCTCTCTCTCTCTCTCTCTCTCTCTCTCTCTCTCTCTCTCTCTCTCTCTCTCTCGTCCTAATAGCAGCACTGACATGCTGCAGTTCAGCGAGTTCCGTGTCATGAGCTGTTGTATCTTCACGGCGAGGTAATGAATACCAATCCCGTTCTTTTTAACAAGACTTCTTGTACATCCGGTGTGACTCTCATGCCTGGCTGTGCCGATTTGTACTCCTTATTCTCGCATTCATAGCAGCAATGTCAGTAGTTATTAGGGAGAAAATCCATCTCATGTTCTACCATCTGTAGGTGTGCCCGGGGTCAAGGAGAACCATGTTAGTGACGCCATCTGTAGGTGTGCCCGGGGTCAAGGAGAACCATGTTAGTGATGCCATCTCTAGGTGTGCCTGGACTCAAGGAGAACCATGTTAGTGATGCCATCTCTAGGTGTGCCTGGACTCAAGGAGAACCATGTTAGTGATGCCATCTCTAGGTGTGCCTGGACTCAAGGAGAACCATGTTAGTGATGTCATCTCTAGGTGTGCCTGGACTCAAGGAGAACCATGTTAGTAATGCCATCTCTAGGTGTGCCCGGGGTCAAGGAGAACCATGTTAGTGATGCCATCTGTAGGTGTGCCTGGACACAAGGAGAACCATGTTAGTGATGCCATCTGTAGGTGTGCCTGGACACAAGGAGAACCATGTTAGTGATGCCATCTGTAGGTGTGCCTGGACACAAGGAGAACCATGTTAGTGATGCCATCTGTAGGTGTGCCTGGACACAAGGAGAACCATGTTAGTGATGCCATCTCTAGGTGTGCCTGGAGTCAAGGAGAACCATGTTAGTGATGCCATCTCTAGGTGTGCCAGGACACAGGGAGAACCATGTTAGCGATGCCATCTGTAGGTGTGCCTGGACACAAGGAGAACCATGTTAGCGATGCCATCTGTAGGTATGCCTGGACACAAGGAGAACCATGTTAGTGATGCCATCTCTAGGTGTGCCTGGACACAAGGAGAACCATGTTAGTGATGCCATCTCTAGGTGTGCCTGGACTCAAGGAGAACCATGTTAGTGATGCCATCTCTAGGTGTGCCTGGACACAAGGAGAACCATATTAGTGATGCCATCTGTAGGTGTGCTTGGACACAAGGAGAACCATGTTAGTGATGCCATCTCTAGGTGTGCCCGGGGTCAAGGACAACCATGTTAGTGATGCCATCTGTAGGTCTGCCCGGACTCAAGGAGAACAATGTTAGCGATGCCATCTCTAGGTGTGCCTGGACTCAAGGAGAACCATGTTAGCGATGCCATCTGTAGGTCTGCCCGGGGTCAAGGAGAACCATGTTAGCGATGCCATATGTAGGTCTGCCCGGGGTCAAGGAGAGCCATGTTAGCGATGCCATCTCTAGGTCTGCCTGGACTCAAGGAGAACCATGTTAACGAAGCCATCTCTAGGTGTGCACGGACACAAGGAGAACCATGTTAGCGATGCCATCTCTAGGTGTGCCCGGGGTCAAGGAGAACCATGTTAGTCATGCCCATCAAGGGTTGAAATGTGCATTATAATCCATTCACCACGAGGCAATCAAGTTGATTTTGCACTGCACCCGCAATTGTCCGGCTATCTCTTCCCTGTCGATATACCAATATGTCCTCCGCAAATGACAGAGTCCTTAGAGTCCTTCCATTCCCATAAAACTGGAGGGAATGGGAACTTTCAGACAATCCTGGACAAAAAGTATTTGGTTCCGAGAACCAAATACCACACTCTGGATCAGTGGGTGATGAAAGAAGAATTTGCACCAGTTAGTCAAATGATACTCTGTTATGCGTGTCTGTTTCCTTATCTGAAAATCTTCATTGGCTTCTCATGCGAAAACGTCTGCTTTGAACCCCATCTCTTAAGTATGTCTGTATTCTTCAAGTGTAGATAATTGCCTGCTATGCTTTTCCAAATAATCAGCTAGTCTATGTGCTACAACAGTCTCTAGAAGCTTGCCTGATGCATTCTACTTGGTGATAATTCTGTAGCCACTGATCAAGGAGTAGTTTGTATTTGATTTTAGTAGCGGTAGTTGGTAGCTGTGTTGCCAGTAAAGCCACTCCTCTTTGATCTGACCACTCTTGATGGTGACGTTGAACTCTCTTGCCAGTGCTGTCATGTCGTTCTTCGACGTCTGTAGTATTAATATCGGATAGCATCGATGCCTGGGCAAGTGTTAGATTTTTTTTTAGGATAGTAACATGTGACTGTCCAGAGAGGAGGAGAATACGAAAAGAATAATGATTTTAATGAGCTGGCGCTAAGTGAAGAGAGAAAAACAAGGAGGATGACGAGAAAAGAAATGTAGTTAGGACAATATGTAGTTCCCCACTGAAATAAAATAAAAGGGATAATATTTTCATGGCCAAGACAGTGGATGTGACTAGTGAGTTAAACAAAACAACAACATATAACCACATAGGCAGCACCTAGACAAACCATGTTCACGAACTACACACCAGACAAATTGAATATAATAATTACATTCATCATATATTTCTTTTAGTGACTTCAAAACTGGTGGGCTTCGCAGATTACAATATTTCAACAATATATGTGTTCGATTAGACCATGTGCTAATCACTCTAGCTAACAAAAATGAGAGTTCACCTTTACTTCAAAGCGACCTTTAATCCAAATATCCGAGCTGGGATGTACACGGAAGTCAAGATCTGACACTGTCTGTCTATTGAACGTACCGCCAAAACACGAAACTAGCCAACCAATTAATCTCTCTCGACTCAGATTCTGGAATCGCCCTATCGTATTTCTCCTAGTGGAATGAACATTTTTCAATACCGTGTAATTTTTTTAGAATGCCATAGATAGAGAAGAAGAAAATCATTGCTCAGTGATGAACGCTACAGATTATGCAAAACGAGGCAAAGATCGACCTACGCGGTAGTCGATAAAATACATTGAAGATACATGTACTGTGAAGGTATATAAGGAAGTAGAGACTTTTATTGGGCTGTCAGGGGAACGACATTTTGTAAACAACCTGTAACTGATAATAATTGTGACATGTTCTCTTCCAGAATGTTCTCCTGGGACTTTTGGTAAACGCTGCAAAAGCTATTGCTCCGAGTATTGTCATGACGTGTGCAACTCCCGCACTGGATTTTGTAACTGTAAGGCCCCTTATATTGGATCAACTTGTACAGGTTCTTCAGCCATTTTTTTTCCCGCTTTTTTTTTTTATAAGTGCATCACAGTTTGTAGTTCCTTCATTAATTTCCGTTGATTTAGAGGGAAGACAATTTGATTTAATTTTAAGATTTTACAACAGTTTTCTTTAGTTTGTCGAAAAATATCGCCTTGTAACTCCTTGCAGTGCCATTCTCCTCAGACCGTAATGATCTAGCTGTTTCTAAACACTGTTCACTTGCTCCTAAAAGGCCCTCACAACAACCAGCTTGCATACACCAATTCACCACCAAAGGGTGCAGACCCAGTCAATCTATCTGCCAACACAACGGCATTAACTGGAGAAAATACCAAAAAAAAAAAAAAAAAGAATAACTACCCAGGACTTCTGAAGTGACGCTTGCCACTCTGCACAGAGCATGCCTGTTTGCACTTTTCTCAACATGTTCTGTGAATTAGTTACTATCAGTTATAATTTTTTTCAAGACTGTTTATAAAATAAACAGCCACGCAGGACTTTTTTTTTTTTTTTTAATAAGCATTTTGCATATTTACAGTTAGGAATTTTATTAATAACGACAACATAGGTATTTAATTATAGATTAGAAACACATTCAGACCAAACTGTCCGTTTCCCTTGTTGTGGAATCTATAGTTCTCTTCTTTTGATCACAATTTTTTTTTAATGGGTAGGGACGTGATGTTCTTGTCATATACCCGGAAAAGATGGTGTGGGAGGGGGGCGTGTCTTGTTGCAATATACCCGAGAGGGGGGGGGGTGGGGGTGTCTCGCAATGTTCTCTAGGGGCCGTGGGGGTCTAGCCATTTACCGGGGGGGGGGGGGGTGAAAATAAACTTATTTTTGTCATTGTGGCACTAATACACTTAGTTATGTCATTATGGCACTAATACACTTAGTTATGTCATTATGGCAATAATACACTTAGTTATGTCATTATGGCAATAATACACTTAGTTATGTCATTATGGCACTAATACACTTAGTTATGTCATTATGGCACTAATACACTTAGTTATGTCATTATGGCAATAATACACTTAGTTATGTCATTATGGCAATAATACACTTAGTTCTGTCATTATGGCACTAATACATTTAGTTCTGTCATTATGGCACTAATACATTTAGTTCTGTCATTATGGCACTAATACACTTAGTTATGCCATTATGGCAATAATACACTTAGTTCTGTCATTATGGCACTAATACACTTAGTTCTGTCATTGTGGCATTAATACACTTAGCTCTGTCATTATGGCATTATTACACATGGTTCTGTCATTATGGCATTAATACATTTAGTTCTGTCATTATGGCATTAATACACTTAGTTCTGTCATTATGGAATTAATACATTTAGTTCTGTCATTATGGCATTAATACATTTAGTTCTGTCATTGTGGCATTAATACACTAAGCTCTGTCATTGTGGCATTATTACACATGGTTCTGTCATTATGGCATTAATACATTTAGTTCTGTCATTATGGCATTAATACACTTAGTTCTGTCATTATGGAATTAATACATTTAGTTCTGTCATTATGGCATTAATACATTTAGTTCTTTCATTATGGCATTAATACACTTAGTTCTGTCATTATGGCATTAATACACTTAGTTCTGTCATTATGGCATTAACACACTTAGTTCTGTCATTACGGCATTAATACACTTAGCAATTCTGGTCACCGGAAGTCTCCCATTCTTCGTCTTCTTATCGTTTACTGGCCTTGAATTTTTACATGCTTGTTAGTGGCAGTGGGTCAATTTCCCATGCCTTCTACGACATGCTTGTTAGTGGCAGTGGGTCTATTTCTCCTGCCTTCTCAGACATGCTTGTTAGTGGCAGTGGGTCTATTTCTCATGCCTTCTACGACATGCTTGTTAGTGGCAGTGGGTCTATTTCTCCCTGAAGACCGGGAACCCACACGTGGAATTTCCAGTTTAAAAATAGGCAATTATAATATTTGTTCTAGCTCACAGTGACCCAAAGGGAGTCCGTTTCAGGACATATGACCCCATTAGAACCTTCACGTTACTAGACACGAGCTTTAACGTTCCAGTATAAAACCCCATACTAGACGCGTGCTCCAACATTCCAGTATAGAACACCATACTAGCACTTGCTCCAACATTCCAGTATCTGACCCCATACTAGCACGTGTTCCAGCATTCCAGTATCTGACCCCTTACTAGCACGTGCTCCAGCATTCCAGTATATGATCCCATCAGAACCTTCAGTTTACTAGACAAGTGCTGCAACATTCCAGTTTATGACACTATCAGAACCTTCAGTTTACTTGACACGTGCTGCAACATTACAGTATATGACACCATCAGAACCTTCAGTTTACTTGACACGTGCTCCAACATTACAGTATATGCCACCAACAGAACCTACAGTTTACTTGACACGTGCTGCAACATTACAGTATATGACACCATCAGAACCTTCAGTTTACTTGACACGTGCTCCAACATTCCAGTATATGACACCATCAGAACCTACAGTTTACTTGACACGTGCTCCAACATTCCAGTATATGACACCATCAGAACCTACAGTTTACTTGACACGTGCTCCAACATTACAGTATATGACACCATCAGAACCTACAGTTTACTTGACACGTGCTCCAACATTCCAGTATATGACACCATCAGAACCTACAGTTTACTTGACACGTGCTCCAACATTCCAGTATATGACACCATCAGAACCTACAGTTTACTTGACACGTGCTCCAACATTCCAGTATATGACACCATCAGAACCTACAGTTTACTTGACACGTGCTCCAACATTACAGTATATGACACCATCAGAACCTACAGTTTACTTGACACGTGCTCCAACATTACAGTATATGACACCATCAGAACCTACAGTTTACTTGACACGTGCTGCAACATTACAGTATATGACACCATCAGAACCTACAGTTTACTTGACACGTGCTCCAACATTCCAGTTTATGACACCATCAGAACCTACAGTTTACTTGACACGTGCTGCAACATTACAGTATATGCCACCATTAGAACCTTCAGTTTACTTGACACGTGCTCCAACATTCCAGTTTATGACACCATCAGAACCTACAGTTTACTTGACACGTGCTGCAACATTCCAGTTTATGACACCATCAGAACCTACAGTTTACTTGACACGTGCTCCAACATTACAGTTTATGACACCATCAGAACCTTCAGTTTACTTGACACGTGCTCCAACATTACAGTATATGACACCATCAGAACCTTCAGTTTACTTGACACGTGCTGCATCATTACAGTATATGCCACCATCAGAACCTACAGTTTACTTGACACGTGATCCAACATTACAGTATATGACACCATCAGAACCTTCAGTTTACTTGACACGTGCTCCAACATTACAGTATATGACACCATCAGAACCTTCAGTTTACTTGACACGTGCTCCAACATTCCAGTTTATGACACCATCAGAACCTTCAGTTTACTTGACACGTGCTCCAACATTCCAGTTTATGACACCATCAGAACCTACAGTTTACTTGACACGTGCTCCAACATTCCAGTTTATGACACCATCAGAACCTTCAGTTTACTTGACACGTGCTCCAACATTCCAGTTTATGACACCATCAGAACCTTCAGGTTACTAGACACGTGCTCCAACATTCCAGTTTATGACACCATCAGAACCTACAGTTTACTTGACACGTGCTGCAACATTCCAGTATATGACACCATCAGAACCTACAGTTTACTTGACACGTGCTGCAACATTCCAGTATATGACACCATCAGAACCTACAGTTTACTTGACACGTGCTGCAACATTACAGTATATGCCACCATCAGAACCTTCAGTTTACTTGACACGTGCTCCAACATTCCAGTTTATGACACCATCAGAACCTACAGTTTACTTGACACGTGCTGCAACATTCCAGTTTATGACACCACCAGTTTCAGAACCTCCAGTATAGTTTACTTGACACGTGCTGCAACATTCCAGTTATATGACACCATCAGAACCTACAGTTTACTTTGACACGTGCTCTGCAACATTCCAGTTTATGACACCATCAGAACCTCAGTTTGCTGCAACATTTACAGTACTTGACACCACACGTGCTGCTGCAACATTCCAGTTTATGACACCATCAGAACCTTCAGTTTACTTGACACGTGCTGCAACATTCCAGTATATGACACCATCAGAACCTACAGTTTTACTTGACACGACACCATGCTCCAACATTTTACAGTTATGACATTACATCAGAACCTACAGTTTACTTGACACGTGCTGCAACATTCCAGTATATATATGACACCATCAGAAACCTACAGTTTACTGACACCATGAACACGTTTACATTGACACGGCTGCAACATTCCAGTTTATGACACCATCAGAACCTACAGTTTACTTGACACGTGCTGCAACATTACAGTATATGACACCATCAGAACCTACAGTTTTACTTGACACGTGCTCCAACATTCCAGTTTTTATGACACCATCAGAACCTACAGTTTACTTGACACGTGCTCCAACATTACAGTATAGACACCATCAGAACCTACAGTTTACTTGACACGTGCCATCAGAACCTACAGTTTACTTGACACGTGCTCCAACATTCCAGTATATGACACCATCAGAACCTACAGTTTACTTGACACGTGCTCCAACATTCCAGTATATGACACCATCAGAACCTACAGTTTACTTGACACGTGCTCCAACATTCCAGTTTATGACACCATCAGAACCTACAGTTTACTTGACACGTGCTCCAACATTCCAGTATATGACACCATCAGAACCTACAGTTTACTTGACACGTGCTCCAACATTCCAGTTTATGACACCATCAGAACCTACAGTTTACTTGACACGTGCTCCAACATTACAGTATATGACACCATCAGAACCTACAGTTTACTTGACACGTGCTCCAACATTCCAATATATGACACCATCAGAACCTACAGTTTACTTGACACGTGCTCCAACATTCAGTATATGACCAATCAGAACCTTCAGGTTACTTGACACGTGCTCCAACATTACAGTATATGACACCATCAGAACCTTCAGGTTACTTGACACGTGCTCCAACATTCCAGTATATGACACCATCACTTGAACCTTCAGTATATTTACTTACAGTTTACACGTGCTCCAACATTACAGTATATGACACCATCAGAACCAGTTACTTGAACCAGAACCTCACACGTGCTTACATTACAGTATATGACACCATGACAGGTTACTTGACACGTGCTCCAACATTCCAGTATATGACACCATCAGAACCTACAGTTTACTTGACACGTGCTGCAACATTACAGTATATGACACCATCAGAACCTTCAGGTTACTTGACACGTGCTCCAACATTCCAGTATATGACACCATCAGAACCTACAGTTTACTTGACACGTGCTCCAACATTCCAATATATGACACCATCAGAACCTTCAGTTTACTTGACACGTGCTGCAACATTACAGTTTATGACACCATCAGAACCTACAGTTTACTTGACACGTGCTGCAACATTCCAATATATGACACCATCAGAACCTACAGTTTACTTGACACGTGCTGCAACATTACAGTATATGACACCATCAGCACCTACAGTTTACTTGACACGTGCTCCAACATTCCAGTTTATGACACCATCAGAACCTTTAGGTTACTAGACAAGTGCTGCAACATTCCAGTATATGACACCATCAGAACCTACAGTTTACTTGACACGTGCTCCAACATTACAGTATATGACACCATCAGAACCTTTAGGTTACTAGACAAGTGCTGCAACATTACAGTATATGACACCATCAGAACCTTTAGTTTACTTGACACGTGCTGCAACATTCCAGTTTATGACACCATCAGAACCTACAGTTTACTTGACACGTGCTGCATCATTACAGTATATGACACCATCAGAACCTTTAGTTTACTTGACACGTGCTCCAACATTACAGTATATGACACCATCAGAACCTACAGTTTACTTGACACGTGCTCCAACATTCCAGTATATGACACCATCAGAACCTTCAGTTTACTTGACACGTGCTCCAACATTACAGTATATGACACCATCAGAACCTTCAGTTTACTTGACACGTGCTCCAACATTACAGTATATGACACCATCAGAACCTACAGTTTACTTGACACGTGCTCCAACATTCCAGTTTATGACACCATCAGAACCTACAGTTTACTTGACACGTGCTCCAACATTCCAATATATGACACCATCAGAACCTACAGTTTACTTGACACGTGCTGCAACATTCCAATATATGACACCATCATAACCTTCAGTTTACTTGACACGTGCTGCAACATTACAGTATATGCCACCATCAGAACCTTCAGTTTACTTGACACGTGCTGCAACATTACAGTATATGCCACCATCAGAACCTTCAGTTTACTTGACACGTGCTGCATCATTACAGTATATGACACCATCAGAACCTTTAGTTTACTTGACACGTGCTCCAACATTACAGTATATGACACCATCAGAACCTTCAGTTTACTTGACACGTGCTCCAACATTCCAGTATATGACACCATCAGAACCTTTAGTTTACTTGACACGTGCTCCAACATTCCAGTATATGACACCATCATAACCTACAGTTTACTTGACACGTGCTGCATCATTACAGTATATGACACCATCAGAACCTTTAGTTTACTTGACACGTGCTGCAACATTACAGTATATGACACCATCAGAACCTACAGTTTACTTGACACGTGCTGCAACATTACAGTATATGACACCATCAGAACCTACAGTTTACTTGACACGTGCTGCAACATTCCAGTATATGACACCATCAGAACCTACAGTTTACTTGACACGTGCTCCAACATTCCAATATATGACACCATCAGAACCTACAGTTTACTTGACACGTGCTCCAACATTCCAGTTTATGACATAATCAGAACCTTCAGTTTACTAGACGCGTGCTCCAACATTACAGTATATGACACCATCAGAACCTTCAGTTTACTTGACACGTGCTCCAACATTCCAGTATGTGACACCATCAGAACCTTCAGGTTACTAGACACGTGCTCTAACATTCCCGCTCCAACACTCTCAGTGAAAATTGTGAGATATTCATCAAATGAGTTCCGACATGATCAATGTAAGTCACAGATTTATGAACCTCCTGCAGAATGTCCTTCTGGGCGTTTCGGTCCAAACTGTACGAAGACTTGTCCGGGCTCGTGCGATGGCAAGATCTGTAACATTACTACTGGGGAATGTTTCGGATGTAAAGGCGGTCGCTTTGGTCGTTTCTGTGATGGTAAGCAGTTAATTAGTTTGTTCATTGGTTAGCCGGTTAACTAGCTGGCAAGTTAGCTAAGTACAAAATGGGATAAAGCTCAAGCAAGTTAATTGGGCACCCTGATAACATCGAATGGAAGATATAACTCAAGCAAAGGTAGCATTTTGCTAAATGTAGAATTTTTATGCAATAATTTTTTTTTTTTTTTTTGGTCAGTTGAAACGATACAGATAATTCTTAAAAGCCAAATAAATCCTATCTTTATTTACGGAATTAAATCATGGACAGTTGGTAAATTAGTGAAAATGTATTTGGAAACTGCGGAGATGTGATTTTATAGACGAATTATGAGAATACCCTGGGCAGATGAAAAGAGTAATGAAGACGTCTTGAAAGAAACTGACTCACGAAGAGAACTGACTGTACGCATCAGAGAGAAACAATCTACATTCTTTTGTCATGTGATGAGAAGAAGAAAACTGGACTACATCGTAACGGTTGGAAAGCTGGAGGGGAGGAGAGGCAGAGGAAGACCGAGAGAACAGATGCCGGACAGTTTGACATCATGGCATCGAGGCCATCTGTATGAGAGTTGACTGTAAGTCCACGCGGCAGGAGGTTGAGTACCAACGCCACACAGCATGGACTTTGAGAAGAAGAAGAAATTTGCTTGTGAGTTGCTAGTTCGCTAGCTACTTAGATAGCTCAACAGTGTTATGCCGCATAACTACATTAGTGTTCTCTATAGTTTACTTGTGCTTAGGCATTGCGAACTCGATTCAAAATTCCGGGTGCCTGGTTCCTTCCTAGCTGCAGTCAATTTAACAGGCAGACCTCCTTGCCTTGGTTTCAACAGTGGCATGGGAAGCCTACTGTGCAGAAAGCAATGGCAAACTACTGAACGTAAAAGTGCCTACTGAAATTGCAAACTGTCATAAACGTTGCTGTTGTTGATTATGTGCTGTTAAACACCGCTAACTTTGATTGCCAACTAATGTGAAATGGCAAATGAAGTAAATAGAATGAGTACGTATCTAAAATGGCTAATTTTACAATCAGTGTCTGCATATATTAAGATTGTCTGGTTTGCCGACTCTAGAACATGCAACAAATAAGTTATGTCTGCGCAAAAACAGAGACAGTCTGGTTTGCAAACTCTAAAACATGCAACATATAAGTTATGTCTGCGCAAAAACAGAGACAGTCTGGTTTGCCGACTCTACAACATGCAACATATAAATTATGTCTGCGCAAAAAACAGAGACAGTCTGGTTTGCCGACTCTAAAACATGCAACATATAAGTTATGTCTGCGCAAAAACAGAGACAGTCTGGTTTGCCGACTCTAAAACATGCAACATATAAGTTATGTCTGCGCAAAAACAGAGACAGTCTGGTTTGCCGACTCTAAAACATCAACATATAAGTTATGTCTGCGCAAAAACAGAGACAGTCTGGTTTGCCGACTCTAAAACATGCAACATATAAGTTTGTCTTTTTATTAGTGGTAGTTTAAATTGTATTATTAAAAGCATTCAAAATGGTTATTTATTTATCACATGCTAAAGCTTTATTTTTTTTTTTTTTTAACTGTTCTTATAAATGACCAACAAATTCGCAGCAACAACGAAAATGAGAATAGCTGAGAAAGCGTTATTAAAATAGAAATAATTAATAAATGAGAACTTTAAAATCATGTGTTGAGCTCTCTCAGTTAACAGTGTCTGTCATCACCCCCCCCCCCCCCCCCCCCCCCCCGCCAATGCACAAACTGCTCATTTCTCCCTCCCCGAAGAATTTGGAATTTATCAGTCATCCGTGTCACCCAGACTAAAAGGGGTAATGAAAAGTGAAGGCAGCCGGTGTAATATTTACCTCATAATGTGTTATACAGATTCTTTTTAGATCAACAGTCAAAGTTCGCCTACAACCCGCACCGGGAACGCGGCAACGAAACAAAAATTGGATAGTCAGAAAACAAAACCACGATGAGGATGGGATCGTGGCTAGAGCAATGTTTTTCGTACTTTGTGCGACTCTTTTATAAAAAAAACACTTGCTTATTCGAATGCAACGGAGTGGGGAAAAAAATTTGAAAGCAATCGGTGAAGAACTTTCGGAAATTAGATATCACTAACAACGGAACATTTATGTTTTTATTTATATAGATTAACTTTCATGCCATGATTCTAAACTGTCCAACATCTTCTCTCTTGGTCTACCTCTGCCTCTGCTCCACTCTAACTTTCCCGCCATCACGATGAACTCGTTTTCTCTTTCTCATGACGTCACCGAAAAATGCTAATCGAGTAAATTTTTCGTCTTTGTAATCCTGTGTTTGATATCTGATACAGTAAGTACTCATGCTAAATATGTCTTCTCTGCAACGAACTGGTGTTACATATGCATGTTTGAAATGCTGCACATTTAACAGCAAAAAATGACCAAACATTTATTTCCCATCACTTCCCCCTTCCCTGTCGCTCCTTTCCCCACAAAACTAGCTTGCGCTGAAGGCTTCTACGGCCCGCTGTGCTTTAGCAAATGCTCACCGTACTGTAACCAAGCTACTTGTGATGTTACTACGGGTAACTGCTCCAGCTGTACGGGTGGCTACACGGGACCTCAGTGTATAGGTAAGTCAGTGCACAGACCATCCCTCACGCCATTCATACTTCGGACAAAAATGGCTAGGCCCAGGTGTCTATAGATGAGACAGAACTCTTCCTCGGACATAAAAAGGCTAGACCCAGGTGTCTATAGATCAGACATAACTCTTCCTTAGACATAGAGGGCTGGACCCAGGTGTCTATAGATCAGACATAACTCTTCCTTAGACATAGAGGGCTGGACCCAGGTGTCTATAGATCAGACGGAACTCTTCCTTACACATATAGGGCTTAACTGAGGCGTCTATATATCAGACAGAACTCTTCCTTACACATATAGGGCTTAACTGAGGCGTCTATAGATCAGACAGAACTCTTCCTTAGACATATAGGGCTTAACTGAGGCGTCTATAGATCAGACAGAACTCTTCCTTACACATATAGGGCTTTACTGTGGTGTCTTTAGATTAAACAGAACTATTCCTTACACATAAAGGGGTTAACTGAGGTGTCTATAGATCAGACAGAACTCTTCCTTAGACATATAGGGCTCGTCCCAGGTGTATATAGATCAGATAGAACTCTTCCTTAGACATATAGGGCTGGTCCCAGGTGTATATAGATCAGACAGAACTCTTCCTTAGACATATAGGGCTAGTCCCAGGTGTATATAGATCAGACAAACTTTCTCGGGCACAAAGTTGAAGTTGAAATCTAGACCATCGACTTCAGTGCATTGGGTTATCCCATAGATCTCTTTCTCTCTCTCTCTCTCTCTCTCTCTCTCTCTCTCTCTCTCTCTCTCTTTCTCTCTCTCTCTATCTCTCTCTCTCTCTCTCTCTCTCTCTATCTCTCTCTATCTCGCTCTCTGTCTCCCTCTCTCTCATGCTCTCTCTTTCACTCTCCCTGTCTCTCACGCTTTCTCTCTATCTCTCTCTTCCTATCTCTCTCTTTCTCTCTTCCTCTGTCCCTCTCTCTTTCTCTCCCTCCCTCTCACTCTCTGTCTTTCTTTCTCTCTCCATCACTCTTTATCGCTCTATCTCTCTTTCTCTATTGCCATCTCTCTCCCTCCCTTTTTCTCTTTCTTTCTCTATCTCCCTCCCTTCCTCTCTCCCTCTCGCTCTTTCTCTCTCTTCCTCTCTCTCTATCGCTCTGTCTCTCTTTCTCTATCTCGTTCTCTCTCCCTACCTCTCTCTCCATCTCTCTCGCTCTCTCCCTCTCTCTCTTTCCCTCTCTCTCTCCCTGCCTCTTTCTCTCCCTCTCTCCCTTCCTCGCCCCCTCTCTATTTCCCTTTCTCCCCTTCTCCCTTTCTCTCTCCCTCCATCTCTCTCTCTCTGTCTCTTTCTCTTCCTCTCTCTCCCTCCCTCTCTCTCCCTGCCTCTTTCTCTCCCTCTCTCCCTCCCTCTCCTCCTCTATTTCCCTCTCTCCCCCTCTCCCTCTCTCTCCCTCTCTCCCTACCTATTTCTCTCCCTCTCTCTCCCTCTCTCTTCCTCTCTCTCCCTCTCTCTTCCTCTCTCTCCGTCTCTCCCCCTCTCCCTTTCTCTCTCTCCCCTCTCTCTCCCCTCTCTATCTCTCCCTCTCTCTCTCTCTTTCACTCTTTCTCCCTCCCTCTCTCTCTCTCCCTGCCTCTTTCTCTCCCTCTCTCTCTCCCTCTTCCCCTCTCCCCCTCTCTCCCCTCTCTCTCCCTCTCTATCTCCCTCTCTCCACAGAACAGCTAGCCACCTCCCTGAGAGCGTCGCACAGAGCACGAACTCTGTAGCTATAAGACGGAAAATGCCACTCGTGAACTAACTATGCGTCCCTGGACCGAACCCACGACCTCCAGAGCGTCAAGCAATGGCTTGACCACTTCGCCACTTTTCCACATTCCATACTGTGGTGGACTCAAAGACAGAGATTTAACTCACTATGCAAGCTTACCAATCTAAGACCGGGCCACCTGAGAGCACCAGATACTATAACCCGCATAACCGTTGATTCGAAACCCAGACATACAGACCGGCAGGGAAGCGACTAGTCAGTACGCTCCTGCTGCTCCAGTGTTTAGTTAATTATTTGTTAACTAGTCTGATGTCTGCGCTTGAACAAACAAACAAACAAAAATTTAAAAAACATTTAAGACACACAATTAACAATAATTAGTTGAGTTAAGAAGCGACATTATAGCACTCGGTACAGTTCCTGAAGTGCTCCATTCCCATCTTCAGCAGCAATCGCCGAGTTCTAATTCCAGTGGTATCAGAAGAAGTGTGATCCTATAACCGTCTTGCATGTCCTAGGAGTCTTGAGTGTTGGCCCATGGCCACTCCCAAGTTATTCATTTCTGTTCAGACCGTGATTGTCTATTTGGTAAAGGACGTCGCAGGTCGACCCAGCCTCAAAAGGGTACCAGGATGGCTGTCCTGGGGAAGCAGAGACGGCCGGGGTAATGCTGACCACATTACCCACCGAGCGCCGATTGGTCTGTAAAAATATGGGTGCTCTTCCCATAAGCCCGCTGAGCCTAAAGACGTGAAAAGGGATCTTTACTTTTGGCGGCGTCCGTGGCTTAGGCGTTGCGAGTCTGACTCGTAATCCAATGTACCGCGATCGAAACCCACTGCTGGCTGCGTGGATTTTTATCATGATATGGGGCGTCGCAGGTAGACCCAGCCTAAAATGGGTACCAGGATGGCTGTCCTGGAAAAATAAAGACGGCCGGCGTAATGCTGACCACATTACCCATCCAGTGCCGATTGGTCTGTAAAAATATAGGACGCTCTTCCCACATGCTCGATGGGCCTGAGGCGTGAAAAGAGATCAATGATGATGATGAATTATGTTGGATAAGGCACAACAGCGATCACTCTCCATGTGAAACTAGCAATGCTGTTTTATTTGTATGATTAGTGAAGATAAAAATCTTCATTGTTACAAGTAGAAGTATAAACTCAAATTTTAAATTACTTGACGTCCCCATTGAAACTCCCTCACACAAAGCCCTCTCCACCCCCTTTTTCCATGGGGCGCTACCTCTAGTTTGAAGACCGCTGATGGAATGGAGATTAAATTTGTGAAGAAACAGTGTTTCCTAAATTATTTTGTGTTTATCTAATTGTATGTCACAAAATAAAAATCACTTAACAGGTGGTAGGCAACAACTTCACTGGTTTTGGATGTTGCTAGTAGTGATCACAGCAATCATCCTCACACTTTTCGTGTGCACGTTCTCGATCCTCTACCTACAACGGCGGATAGCGTCTATGGCTACTTCGGACACCACAGGAACAAGTACAACTGACGCGCCCAACACCGGATACCAGATTTCTAGTGGCCGTTGGCGTCTTCCAGCGCATTCGTATGCAGTTGTTCATGTCTTCTTATGTTTCCTTGTCTACGTACTAGTACCTAGTTTTGCTTCGTTGTCCGTGTACCAGTATGTGAATATTTGTCCTTGTCCATGTACTAGTACCTAGTTTTGTTTCGTTGTCCGTGTACCAGTGTGTGAATATTTTTCCTTGTCTATGTACTATTGTGTGAATATTTTTCCATTTCCATGTACTAGTGTCAGGTTATGTTTCGTTTGTCCATATACCAGTACCTTGATTTGTTTTATTGTTCATGTACCAGTTGTTGTTGTTATCGATCCAGCGGCGCATGAGCTTTCGCCCTTTGGCCCAATGCCATGTAGTGGAATTTGCATGTTTTCACAAGCTGTTCTTTTCCTCCGTACAAGGTGTTCCACTTGTCTGGTCTCGGAGGGAGTAGCATTCTTCTAGTCTCGCTGAGTTATGGACACTCAAAGAGATGGTGTTCAACAGTTTCGTAGGGGTAGTTACATAGCTGGTACTCTGGGGAGTGTTGTGGCTGTATTCTGTTTAGATGTCCATTGAGTGGAGTATGTTGCGTTCTAAGTCTGAAGATGGTGGCCTGGTCCCTTCTTGTTAGATGGTTAATGCTGTCATTAGGATCAGGGCCAGCCATATGTCTATAAACCTCTCTTCCAGTGTCTCCCATGGCCCGTCTGTTCAACCGTCTCTTTGTTTATAGCTCTTATCAGTGTTTTTTGCTGTCTGGAGGGTTGTCGCTGTAGGTGGTTGTTCTTGTGTTGCTCTTTTCTTTGCCAATCTGTCAGCTCTGTCATTACCTGGTGTGCCGGAATGGCCTGGAATCTACTGCATCACTATTCTGATGTTGTATGAGGTAATAGGCTGATCAGCATCCAGGATTATCTTGGCTATGTCAGTTCTGCAGCATTCACTGCCCTCCAGAGCTTGAAGGGCAGACATTGAATCTGTGAAGATGACAATATTTTGGACCTTTGAAGGGTAAACATCCATTACAGTCTTTAGGTGATATACTGCTGTTTCCAGTGCAATTATTTCAGCTTCATAATTTCAACAGAAATATCCCGCATGCATCAAAAATCTCTTCAACAGATCCATCGGGATAACCTATGTAGATTCCGTAACCTGCTTTAATGGAAGCTTTAAATGCTGAATCATAAGTATAGACATGTATCCATTCTTGGGGGTAAGAATCAACGGTCTCTAGTGATGAGTTCATAAGAGCGATTGGGTCGGACTGTTTGGTTTCCTCGCCTACCAATTTAATTCGGACTTCTGGAGCTTTAAAGCGAGCATGCGGTGGTAGGTTTCTTGCAACATTCTGAATTCCTTGACACCTTTATGGGAGGTGGTATCTGTCCTGAATTTCATTAACACAGTGTAAAACCGATTTGTGCTTTATTCTTTGTTTGGGTTCCCAGTTTTCTACAAGATGTCTATTAGGATGGTTACGATTTTTTCTAACGCATCTTTCATAAATTTCCAAAGTGGCTTTTTCTCTCCGCAACCCGAGGGGTTCCACATTTGTATGGATTTCAAATGCAGCAGTTGGTGTAGACTGCATAGCTCCGCAGATTAATCGGAGGGCATTATTTTGTACTCTGTCAAGAGTCTCTAGGTTAGTTTTGGAGCAAGTTGTAAGCAGTGAGTTGTACTCTATCACAGAGCGAACATATCCTAGATATAAGCCCCTCAGAGTTT